ATATAACCACTTAATGGAATGACACCGTTTTGGGTGCTAGGGTTCCATAAGTTTGGTGCTTGGTTTATTCACGTCAGGAGGATCCTCATCTTGTAACATTTGCATTTTAGTCATCAATGAAACTTTTACTCTCTTCTATTTTTAGCTCTTATTTTGTTTTACGTTGCAATTTCGTCCTCGTTTGCCTATATATTTTTACGTTTATATTCAAGCCCGGGCCATTATATTTTATTTTATCCATACTTAAGTAGTACGAGTTATTATTGGTTAATTTTAGTCACCTTTTTCCTATTGTTTTGTTTTTGGTTAAATTGTTGTTGGTGGCATGATGTTTTACTTCTTTTCATTTTAGTCCTGCATGTTGCTTTGGATTTATTGCTGCTTTAGTTCTCCTGTTATATAATATTTGAACATTAGCTATGATTTTTGATATGTTTATTATTATACCTCTAAAGTTGTTGTTCTTTATTATTTATTCCTTATTTACTAAGCATGATTAGTTTCTTTTATTTGTATTTTAGTTTATCACCTTTGTATATGTGCACTTTAGTACAAATTGTAGCCTTGTTTTATTAACGGTTTATATTATAGCTCATGGTTCATGTGTGTATGTATATATAAATCAAATAAATGTTATTAGCCACATTTGTACTAAATATATTTTATTCGTTATAATATATGCAGGTATTACATACGTTTGTTTGATATATTTTGTCTTTTATATATTTCAAATCATATTAATTTTTAATTATTATTTTAAACTCCTTTATTTGTTCGTATATAATTTAATATTTTATTTGAATATTTTCAAGAACACATATTTAAAGAATGGGTGTGAGAAACACCGCTTGATCGAAGTAGTGCGATTCAATACGACATTTGAACGAAATGTGAACTTAAAATAAATTGAGTTCCCTAATTCGAAACAGTTACCGATATTTATTTCCTTTATATTCGATTATGTTTTCTTCTTAACGTTGGAGAGGGGAACATTTCTCATGTAAAGGAGAAATAAATGGGTTAGTCTTCCCATTGGATGTGCAAAACCCATGATTTCTTTTCAAACTAAGGAATGTTCCCTAATTCGAAACAAATTATTCAATGTTCAATAAAAGGATCACACTTTAAATATTGATTCAAATTTACGATGTCCACCATTTACGCTAATGTTTTGTCTATAGTTTGTAACGACCAAGTACCAATTTTTGGCACCGTGGGATGATAATCCTTCCCCTCGCGTAATCGACTCTCGGATCCTGAAAAATAATTTTTTGGTAAACGCAGACCAATTTTTGTCTTTTAAATGATTTTATTTCCTAAATTGTTTTAAAATATGTTTTTAGGTACTCGACCTACCTAACCTAAAGGTTGATGACGACTCCTAATCAATTCAATCAAATTAATTCAAAAATCCCAAAATTTTAAAAATAAAGTCATAATTGTTTTTTTTTTAAATAAAATTTTTCAAAAATGGTTATGACAACTTGGCGACTTTGCTGGGGACACTTTAGAGAGTCAGGTCATAAGTTGCTTATACATTGTCGTAATGATGGAAATTATAAGTTTGCGTCTATAGCTAGCTTATGATCCATTTATTGAAGTTTTTTCTAATTTCTTTATTGTTTAAATTTTCATACTAATGTTTTAATTTATGTTTTCAGCTTTGTTAAAGTTTTTGACGAGACTTTTTTGATTTTTGAGTCGAAGGTTTTTATGTTCCTCCTCAAACACCTAACGTGCATTTGTATAACATAAGCTATATACCCGAGCTTCGTCCCAAGTAAGTAGAGGCGAAGGCTTTGCTCTCTTAAGAATTTATTCTTTGTATGAGCCTTAGCAAATAACCTCTTAGGTACACATGCCTTATACCTTCTTAGGGATTTATTATTCGTATGGGTATAAGGAAGTGAATCCCCTCGAATTGAACTCGATCCATTTAAGCCTATAATGGGTGAGGATTGAGGGTTTGGCAGCCCAATGGGTCACCAACAACAAGGACAATTCGAGTATCTTTCTATGTTAGAGCCGAAACCATGCATGTAGTGAACCATAGGATGGTTACCCTAGGTAGAGCCATACAGAACCTCTGTCTGTTAGTAAGCACCGAAATAAGTGTACACGAAGGAGGAATGACTCTAAACCTTTACATTTTGCTTTAAATTCATAGAATAGATTTCTTTTGAAAGCTGTGAATTAAATACCATGCAGATATGATTAATTTCTTGAAGTAAATCATTTTGGGTAGAAAGCATGTCCGGGTATGATTTCTATTTAATAAAACATGTTCGGGTAGATACCATGATGGATGTAGGTTTTATATTCATCTCTGAATAACACTTTTATCTGTATCGATTATCCTACCTGTACTAACTCATTTTTCGTCTTTTTTACATTGCATCATCATAACATAATGCAAAAATGTTGATCCGCAATGGAATATTTAAGTGAAAATTTTCATAAGTATAGAAAAAAGTTTTCAATCAAGCAGCCCATACAGAGACATGCACTGATAGCTAATGAGGAAGAAAATCGCTTGAAGATTGTACACTAGAGCTAACTGATTGAATAACCTCGAAGACTCGAAAGGTGATCCCTTGATCCGATAAGGTAAAGTAATGGTAGAGATTTCACTCACAAGTATTCCACCATTAATCATCAAGGCGTGCCGCATGATTCTAGCACTACAGGGGCATTAACCGAGATAGGTTATAGAGCGTTTGAGGGGCATAATTTTCAAGGATGAAGCTCCGAGATGAAGCATCGAACCATTTCAGACCCATCGTCTAAGAGAAATCATGTTTGTAAAATAGACTATCTTGTAAAGTGAAGACTTTTGACTCTGATGAAAATTGTTCTACGATATTCATCGTTGGGATCAACACTTTTTGCATCTGCATTTGCATCTTTGCATTTTGCACCTGCATTCCATTTATTTAAGCATTTTCACATGCATCATTCATGAAAATATGGAATTAATTCGTGGAGGATTTAATACAGTGGTCCTAATCACGTGACACTACATTAAGAATAGAAGCAAGATTCGAACAATTAAAGGAATAAGCTAAAATCAATACGGTGGGAGTCTATTCAGCTGGTCGTAGGGCTGAGCCTTATAGGATGATCCGAGAAAAGAGTCAATTTGATCCAATTCCAATGACCTATGAGAAATTACTTCAAACGCTAGTTGAGAAGAATGTTGTGACTCTAATTCAATCCAAGCCAAAAGAATCCACATATCCTAAGGGCTACGATGTTGATGCCATATGTAACTATCACATAGGAAGTTCAGGACATTCCACTAAGAACTGTAAGGAACTAAAGTGCAAGGTCTAAAATTTGATTGATTCATGGGTATAGACATTCGAAGAATGATGGGGCATTCTAATGTGGATCGAGAAGACATTGAATCTACCATGAAGCTTTCTTGCACTTGCATTAAGCACATTGTTTTATTTGTGTTGAAACAATTTTTTTATTTTTTTTTTAAAAAACACATTTTTAAAATTTATCTCTTTTGGTTAATTTTTAATTAAAAAGTAATGGGATTTTAAAAAATCTCTCGTTTCAAAAAATTTGGGATTCCCTTTAAATAAAATATAAAAATGTATGGTTCGAGAAGTCGCCAACAATCTTTGATTAGGGTGTGATTGGGCACCCAAAAACATTTTGTCATTTTAATAACAAATATTAATTTTAATTAAACGAAAATTTTATAGTATGCGTACCAGAAAAATGAGTTCAGGAGTCGGTTATGTGTGGGGAAGGATTAGCATACTCACAACGCCCTAAATCGATACCTAGTCGATTGATTAATGTCTTTGCAATAAAATTTACAAGTTTTAATTTAATTTAGTTAAAGATCCCTTAAAACAATATTATATGAATTTTAAAATGAAACCTAATAATATTTAATTATTTCCTATCGAGAAGAAACGACCCTTCATACCTTGAGGTAATCAATTCTTACTCCAATTGAAATAAAGAAATATTACAGTTACATCGTAATATTCAAATGCACAAAAATAAATTAAATTAAAGATTACAAAGCCTTTTAGAAAGAAGAAGAATATTCGATTATTTAAAGACATCGAGATCAGACCTTAAATAAGTTCTAACAATCTTTTTTCGAAGAATTTAAATAGACAGACATTTCTTGTTCTCTCGTTCCCAATTTTTAATTGTGGTCAAATTTTAGGGTTTCACTTAGCGAGATACATTGTCATTTTAAAATTGTCAGAAGTGGCATTCTCATAAGTTAAGACAACCACCTCACGTCAATTTTAAAACGAAAAGATATTACCCTTAGTCAAATTATTTGATGTGGTCAAGTTATGCTCATGTAGGTAACATGCATTAAATAAATAAACAATGCAAAAACCTAGATCTAGATGAACATGCGAGTACATACATAATATTTACTTGTTAATATTTAAGACAACGAATATAAATCATGCAATACATTTCCATATATAAAGATTGGTACACGCATGGTAAAGAGTATGTTCAATTCCTAATATGGAAATAAATATACCACTACGAATATATAAATGTGCATGAAGAAGATGACAGTATAATAATCGAAACAAAAGACAGTCAAGTATAAGGTTAAAATTATGAAGTGAACAAAAATAAGGTTGTGAACCACAAATAATTATATTTTAAGCACTATGATTAAAATAAACCCATGGACGCATGTAGGACTAAAATAGAAATTTCGGAAATAGTATGTCCAGAGTACAAACAAGTGAAAGTTTACAATCCCAACCTTAGGACCTAAATAAAATGTTCATAAAATATGAAGGTGAAATCGAAAGTTCAGGAAACATGGACTTTGAGGATTAAAATGAACGAAATCAAAAAAAGGCGTGGCTCCCTCAGCAATAAAATTATTCGCACGAAAATGGACTATCCTGGACTCCAATTAAACGACGTCGTTTCATTCAACTCTCTTAAAGCCTTACTTAGGCTAAAATTTGACCTAAAAACCAAGAAAATTATCATTTGGCTAAAACAAACACCTCAACGTTGTTCTCTCCTCTCTACTCCTCCCCTCTCTTCTGCTCTTTTATTTTCATTCTTCTCCTCCGACCAAGGCAACCTCCATGGCCACCGCCACATGCAGGCTCTGATGAGGAGCCTAGAAACCATAGAACCCTTCCCTCTTCACCTCTTCACACCCGGACCTTAAAACTAAACTCACAGCCTAAAAAAACAAACCTAGGCGAAACAAAACCTTCCAAACCCTTAAGGATTATATCCTTAACGAAAACGACTCTCGAAAACTAGATGAGGCCAAACAACGAGATGCTATAAGACTTCAGGTCTTACCCTCGACGGCTCAACGACGTCTGGACGAAGGGAGATGGTGACGAAGCTTTTTGGATGGGAAAGGGGAGGCCTTTTCGTTTTTCGCTCCTCTTTTGGGTTGGTTGCTCACTCATAAAACAAAGATACTCTCTTATTGTTCTCTCTTTCTTTTCGTTGTTAATTTTTCATTTTTCATCTGCCTGGGTTTTTTCCTCTGATTTTTTTGATTTGGTTGTTCTATTTTCATTATTATCGATGCTTGCCTGTTATTTATGGGGAGGGCTTTTCTTCCCTCGTGCCAGATCATGTGAGGTCGTTGGAGGCACTCCTCATGCTTCTCTCTCTCTCTCTCTCTCTCTCGGGTGAAGACTGGTGATCCCTCCATTTCTTTTGTAACATAATGACTTTTCTTCATTCTCTCGTACAAGGGTGGATTACTCATGGTGGTGGCAGAAAAGGCTTGTGGGGACCGATTTGGTGTGCACGAATTCTATCTACGAGTGTGTGGAGTATTTGAGAAGTCTCGCGTGGATCTCACGCGTGAGATCTGACGGTTTGATGTCCTCAGGTGAAGCTAGGTCATTGGATCGCTGACTGGATTCAACGGTTAACATAGTGCGGTGACGGCAGAAGATGATCTTAGGGTTAACAAACCTTAACTCAAGCATAATCTGACTGTTGATCTCATAAGAGATCCAACAGTGCATGCTGGGAATGACTGAAAACCCTATCTGCGTTGGACTGCTACTTCTTGGGCCTCAACTGGGTTCATTTGCTGGGTTGTTTGTAATTATTTTAGGCCTGTAAAAATTAAATATTTAATTAGCACACTTTAAATTATCATTATATATATATATATATATATTTGATTTAGTTATTTATTATATATTTATTTATACATATATAGTCATAATCGTTTACACTCCTAATTAATAATATGAATACGTCTAAATAACTAATATATAAAACCCAAATGAAATCTGAATGCGATCCCAGGACAAAAGGACAAAACGAGCATCTGCAGTTTGAACTCATTTTTGTTCTATCTTCTACTTAAATATTTTGTTAAGTTGATTGAACTTATGTTACCTTCTAAGGTTGTGAATAATTCAATGAGTTTTAGTCTTGTAGTTCTTTTAATATCATTTGAATTAAAAGCTCTCTTAAGAATTAAAGTTATGGCCTCTGGGCAAGTGACAAGATTGAACCTTCGTAAAACAAGAACCATTAACCTTACTCTAGAAAATACACCATAACACTTAACCTTCTCTTACAAGGATCAAGCTAGCCTTCTCCTCTCATGAAGAGACAATTAAGGGCTTGGTATTTAGTTATGTAAGGATGTGGACAAAATGAGGTATCTTGCACATGATATTGCAAAGCTGATTGGTTTCTATTTTTTTGATGACGTTCAATGATGATCATGATCTTCACAGATGGAATATTTGAATACGTGAATCTAGTTAAAGTCAGCTGCTTGGAAATTAAAATCTAAAGATGATATTTTATGACTTTCAACAATACATGAACTATAACAGGTTCTTCTTGACAAGCTTAAGAAATTGAATCCATATACCCATAATGTAATTATAAATGTATACAATAAAGCTTGAGTTATCTCTATAGAGAAATTGTTTAAACGTCCAAACTTTATGGATAAATTCAACTAGCCAAATAAAGGCAATTATAAAATATATATGTACAATAAAGTTGAATTTAGCTAGCCAAACAATGACCAATTAAATCGAATTTACTAGATAAGGAGTTTTGGTGAAGATGGACTAAGGGAGTTAAGGAACACTAGTTATAGTCAATTTCACACTAGCACTCAGGAATTTCATTTTTAGACTGATATTTCTGCACTGCCTTTGTTAGAGGAGTCTAGGAAGCTTGAACAAATGGAAGATTTCAGAGAACTGAAATAGAAGTGTTTTAAAAGATTTAGAAATTGATTATGCTAGTTGCGACATTTTGGTGGCACCCAATTAAATGCCAAGCCAAAAATGAGGGGTATGTATAGTGTTCCAAAGAGCAGGGACAAGAAGGACTTGATGGCTAAAACCTTAAAAAATAGTAAGCCAACCTAAAACCAATCCATAATCTTGACACTTGTCAAAGAGCTATAAGTTTGAAGGATTAAGAGAGTAATTAATTATTTGATATACAATGAACTCTTGTTTTATGATTTGTCTCAATTGTGAAACCTAGAAAAGGGCAATTATTTTTCAAAATTTTTATTAAACATTTTTCAAAATTGTTTTATTTGTTTTTTTTTCAAAATTTGAAAATAAAAGGGAAAAAACCATTTTCAAACAAGACAACCTCTCTAGAGTAGATCTTGGTAGTTGACACGTGTCTATTAGAAGCATAACTCATACTTAAGGTTGAAAATGGCGAAGCATAGACAATAGAGCTTACTATATAAGATTTTTTTTTTCAACCATCATAAAGTACAATTGTGATAGTATGATGATTTGTAGTACATTAATGTTGACAGATACCTAACCAATGACTCAATCTTGTGGGGCTTCTAAATTCTGATTTCACCCAAGTGAACGACCGTGTTATGCCCGTTCCAAGGTTAAAAGCGATGAAGTTTTCTTGCCATAGAATGACAATGAAATTTTAAAAGCATGAAACTAATAGAGCCAATTAAATAATGAGTTGTCGTTAACTTCTCAACATGATGTGATACAAATAGCCTCATTCGAAATTTAATTCAGATAGACCCTCTATTCAAGGTGAGTCAAGAGCCCAATCAGAGAAAACACTGCTATCATATTGTAAGAATTTGAAGAAAATATCAAGGAAACCTAACTTGAACTTCTTGGAGCTCCATAGTTCATTCTTTTCCTTTTTCCTGACCAAATTGTGATTTTTTGGTCAATGGAAGAGTTAAGAACCCTGCAGAGTTTGACATGATTACATTGTGAATTGATTTCGATGTTAGGAATTGAGCAAACATCTTCAATTTTGATTCCGATTGCTCTACGGCTCTGACTACCATCCTTGGCATGAATGTATCATAGGGCTCATCGGGGAAGTGGATGTCCCATCGATTATTGCGATGGCTAGCTCTAGACAGTGCTATTGATTCACCGTCATAAGATAGCAGCACGTACATAGTCTCAAAGCTTGAAATAATGGATTCTCTTTTCAAAGCAATAATGAAAGCTCTATTAGATTTCGACACAAGTTCGGAAATGGGAAGCCAAATTTTATTAGGGGTAAAAATTTTCTAGGGCAAGAAGAAATTGACACAAGTCAAGAATTCTAGGGATGCACACTGATTCAAACAAAGAGTGAAGGCAACCGAATCAGGGATATAATTAAGATTACTCATGCAACCATTCCCATCACAGATCAAGGAAACATGCATCAACATAAACATACACGTCACATGAATTTGCACCTTTGCATCATACATTCATCATCGCGTGTAATTAAAAAAACTTTGTCTCCCCTATCGTGAGGATGCCTTCATAATCTCTTTTGAGAAACTAATTTCGTATTTCCCAAGATTGTTCGTCTAAGAACATCAATATAATATTTTTTAAGATTGTTTTTCCTTGAAATCCTTATTTCATTTTTCTTAAAAGTCATTTTTCTCCTCTCACCACGACATCATCTGATTTTTCTTTCTCAATATCATTTTTTCTCCTCTCATGAGAACAAATTCAAAAAGTCATTTTTATTAAAATAAAATTCAAATCAACTATATGAAATAAACTTCATCTTGGCATCCAGAAAACATCCAAGATAGTCATTCATAAATGCATCATTCAGGAAAGAAAAAATCGGCGACAACTAGATCTCATCAACACGAGAGAGCAATGGCCCCGTCAGATTTGACATTGAACAAATCACCCAGAGCGACCCGATCTCTTCATCACGTAGGAGCAGTGTCATTTCCAAAACCAAATTATCTTTAGACAATCAAACTTTCTTAATGCAAAAGAACAGTGTTATCTCAATTATCCAAATCCAACTAGATCTCCTCAACGCGAAGGAGCAATGTCATCCAGATAACTAGACTTCCTCATGGAACAAGGTTATCTCTAAATACAGCTAAACGTCCTCAACACAAAAGAAAATTTTCACCGTCCGACCAGATTTTCTCAACGCAAAGGAGTAATGTCATCCTCAGACAATCATATTTTCTCAACACGAAGGAACCATGTTATCTACAAATTATCCAACTATGGCTAGACGTCCTCAACACACGAGGGAACAATTTCATCCACCAACCAGATCTCCTAAACGCAAAAGAGCAGTGTCATCCTTAGACAATCAGACTTCCTCAACATGAATGAACCGTATTGTCTCCAAATTATCCAAATACGTATAGACGTCCTCAATGTGAAGAAACAATGTTATCTACCGATTAGATCTCCTCAACGCAAAGGAGTAGTGTCATACTCAGACAATCATACTTCCTCAATGAGAAGGAACTGTGTTATCTTTAAATTATCCATATTAACTCGATTTCCTCAATGAGAAGGAATAGTATCCTATGAAAGCAGCAATGACTCTTCAACATGTATGAGTAGTGTTCTCTTCAACACCAGATTATCTTTAGATTGACTCAGCTTCCTGAAAAGCAAGGAACAACGTCATCAAGTGACCAGAACTCTTCAACATGGATGAGCAGTTGATAACTCCGCAAAAATGTCATATTTGAGACCTTTTCACTTAAGTTATTGATTGTCTAAGAGCCTATTTAGGATCATATAGATGCATTTAGGAGCATATAGTTGCATGTGGTGGACTTTTGTTTGTCGCGATATTTTATTTTGTAATCGGTGCGGTTTTATGGGGAAGGTGTTTGTTTGGTGATGTGCAGGATTTGAGAGCAAAAAAAAGAAAAAGGGAAATGATGTGACATGATGAGACTGCTGAGCATAGTGCAAATGTCGATTCGGTTGATATTTCGAGAGCGAACAAAATGAAAGAAGATATTTTTAGAGCCAGCTATCCCTATCTTCACGTGATTTCTACCCGTGAGGAGATACATGCCTAGAGGGGACCATGCGCTGCTGCAATTGATTCTGTTGGACCTCAACCTATTACAGCTGATTCTGCTTCTGTAGTCTGATCTTGTTGGGTACTCAGCCAGCCACCCAGGCTGGACCACTGCCAGCTGCCGGAGGGGACCACTGCCAGCTGCCCGAGGGGACCACTGCCAGCTCTGCCAACCCACATGTGAATGATGCATGATTTGACGTATCCTAGGAATTTCAACACAAATTCCTAGGTTTATTCTCCCCCTATAAATAGGAGATGAAGCCACATTGCAAAGAGACTTTTATACACGCCGCCAAGAGCTCAAATATTCAGAGAAAAAAGTCTCCACCTATCATATTTCTCATGGCATTCCTCTGTTGACAAGCTAGAGTGAGTGGCGTTCTAGGCATCCGAGAGGAGCTAGTTCGCTGGGACAGTCCGTGGTGGTCGAGGGAAGCTCCGACAGTGCATGTCGAAGGGAGCAGTAGACTAGCTTTCTCATAGCTAGCCCAGGTACGCATTTTGAAGCTCTTAATTTTAAAGAGTTTGTTCCTCCTAAGCCCTCATTACAACATGCTCTTATCCTAGAGCTTAAGAATTTGCCACAACATCTTAAATATGCTTATCTAGTTAATAATAAAACTTTACATGTTATTATTTACTCTGCTCGTACTCCTAACAAAAAATGTAGTCTGCTAAGTGTTTTATCACAGCACAAGAGAGCATTAGGATGGACGATGGCGAATCTGAAGGGAATAAGTCCAACTATTTGCATGCATAAAATCCTTCTGGAAGAACGCCATGGAA